ATTAATGTTTAATTTCTGTAGTACCCAAGGGCCCTGGTTGGGGTTGGTGCCTCTTTGTGCGAGGTGTTATACAAACACAGTCCTGTTCTGAGGAATTCTGAGTCTAACATAATCCAGTGTCCTGCATAGCTAATAACAGGGCATGATGTTTCCGAGGAAGGCAATCTCTTCCATTGTAGTGTACGGTGTATCTTTATTTGCAATGACTTTCGTCTCTGGCAGATATGGAGTAGGACTCAGGTTTATAAGATGCTACACGTGTGTACAGACTCTTAAAGCTGTAGAAAAGATAAGGTAGTGTGTGTGAATTATGTGATCTTGCAATGGAAGAGTGTCTCAAAAATGCATATTAGAATGCGGCAGTGTGTGTGTCCTCGCAAATAAGGACTCCCCTTAGGATTCCCGTCTCTGTGTGAGTAGGGATTAGGACAAACAGAAGCCAGAGATCTGATCTACTCCAGCCTATTCATGTGCACAGACGCTGTCCCACCCACACACCCCCTCGCTCACGCTTTTTTCCTCCCACCCCTGCTCCCTTGAAGTTCCTTTGATCGTGGAAAACATTTGGGCCTATGAGGTGCTTTGTCAGGTTTCACTGTGTACGCTCTGAAAGCTGGTGCTGTTTGTACACATCCAAAGAGCCCTGCACCCAGGTGCTGAAGAGTAGGGTGTCATTCCTGGGGAAGATTAAATTGTATCACTAAGTCATCCCTTAAAAAACAGCCTTACCCTGTTTGCTGCCTTCCACAGATAGGTTGGATGGCTCTTGATTTTGAAGGAACTACCTTTAGAAATGCAGTCATTGTTTGTTTTTCTCCCTCAGTTGAATCTTATATCAACAAGCTGTGGTTTTTTGCTGTGTGGGTGAGCAAATGAGCTTACAGCTAGAGAGTATCCTGTCAGGAAAAACCCCCTGCCCCAGCATGCCTGGGACTAGTTAACCTACAGTAACGGGGTTTTTCCTCTTGAACGCTCATGCTTCTCTGAGCTTGTCGACTCCACTGAGGCAGAACTCTGGTCTCAAAAGCCTCCGGAAATCAGCCATTGCCGGCTTCTCGCATACTCCGCTTCTAGTCTGTAGCTGAAACTTTTCAGGTTGAAAATCTTGGTTTAAAACCCCCAAAATGTTCTCTCCTCAGAACGGAAAAGAACATCTGAGCCCCAGCACCTTGAAATGCAGACTTCATCTCACTCTGTGTTCTGCTTCAGGGATAATTGGATCCTGAAGGGAATGGGAACTGTGAGCTCAGTGCACCCAGGAAAGACTAATAGAGGCAAACTGAAGGTTAAATTTGAACAAGACACAGAGGCAAATGTGTGCAGATTACCAGCAGCTGCACTGAAAATTCATCTTATCCCTGCAGTGAGGCTTCGCACTCAAGACTGTCCTGTGGTCTCAGAACTATCCTTTCTTGTCCAACCCCTAATTAGAATAGGCCTTTGACCGCAGGTCACGGGAGGGTGTGTTTGTTTTTCTTAATAATCTTCACTTACTTCCTGACATTTCTGGAGGGCATGGGAATTAGAATTGTTTTTGACACATTTGTAGGTGATTAATTAAATCCATCCCGGCAAGGTGGGTTTCACAGTGGGAAACCAGGTAGGCAGAAATAATTCTTATTAAATGAAGAATCACTTGGTGAAACTGATTCTTTTTTCCTAGCCTCGGAATTTCTTCAACTGACCCATGATCATTTATATTGTGAAAACAATTCCTACTTTTTTCTAACAATGAGGTGCAATGCACTGTAGGACTAAAACAGTGACTCTCCCTGAGAAATGACTGTCGCTGATAGACGATCATAGTCGTTCTGCCAACTTGAGAGAAATGAGTCTCTCCCCTTCAGCGGGCAGCCAGCTTAAAGTGTCTGTCTCACAAGAGGCCTCTGGCTACATTTCCCAATTAGTAGAACCAAACTTTGAGGGAAGTTTGATAGACTCGTATTGGTACCCTCCCACTCAGGGCCTCATTCTTCGTGGCAAAGCAATTCATATGTCTATACTGCCATCGAAGGTGTGACTGCCGCCCAGTTAGACGGACCTGTGCTAGCTTAACCCATGCTGGCATGACTAAAACTAGCAGCCTAGATGCAACAGCATGAACTTCTGTGCAGTCTGTACGTGCCCGCTGGTGACCCGGGGTCCGTACTCACGTCGCTAGTCCACACTGCCCTCGCCCGCTACGTGGCTATTTTTAACCATGTTGGCGACGCTATGTCTACCCGGGCTGCAGTCACACCTGGGATTGGAGGCTGGCATACTTTTAGTGTTCCTTTACAGGGTCCACTCCCTCCAACTCAGGCTTGGCCCTGAAATCTATTTCTTGTGTTATTTCATGCAGATGTTCCTCTTCCTGCAGGAAATGTATTTCCACCTCCCACCCCTCATTGTTTGTCACTCTCCCCCACCCCCTCTCATTTCTCTATTGAATGTATGTTCGGAGACAGGTCCCAGCCAGTTCTCCACATTTGAACAGCCCCAAACTTTGCTGCTCATCCCTGTCACTACATCAGAACAAATTAAAGCCCCAGGCCACTCTTTTGAATAGTGACTAATGATTCTGGATGTCTCAATTGTTGAGCGCCCAGCTGGAGAGAACTTAACGGCTCTGGCTGTGAGCAAAAATCAACCCCCTTTAAGGTGTGTGAAGCTGGGGCACTTCAAAACTGAGGCACCCAGAGGACTCTTGACAATCTTGATCACAGACTCAAATGAATCCCAAAGTTCTGGAGAAGGTCTGATCAGGTCCATCTCCCATCTGTGTGTGGTGTGGTGCTCATGAAAACAGGGAGCCATGCTGTGTGAGGAGGGCTAGCATGGGAGAAGGCAATAGGACTTGCGTTCGTTTGGGCGATTGTGAGGGAAGTGAACCCCAAATACTAGTAGGACTTTAGCCTGCATGAAATAAGAAAGTGATAACACCGTGAGGTCAGCGTAGTGCTGGCTGGCAGCAATCAAGCTTTCCACAAGCAACCTGGGCAACTGTTAATGCATTTTAATCCTGACCTGCAATATTCTGCTTTTCCAGTCCTGCGTCTCTCTTGACCAGAGATTACCATTCATTCTGAACTAGGCCATGCTGTGGTCTAGGAACGTGTCCGCTAGGCATCAAACTCATTACAATTTCAACACCTGCTCAGATTTGAAGTGGCTTCTTCAGGCATAAAGGCTGAGTTAGTTATAATTCTCTCCCTGCTGGGATAGGCAAACAGGTTCAGATAAGTAGGAACCAACTCGTATCCCCTTGACTATAATTCAGACCAGGCTAGAAACCTTGTACTGACAAGCACTCCAAAGATGTGTAGAATATAGCAGAAAATTATCCCAACTCTTAGCTTAAAGAAGGGTCAGTTTGCATTTTTAGTAGAGAACGGCCAAACGCTGCAAGATTCAGATCCAGATTTTCAAAGCCCCCAAACTTTGGACAAATCGGGATCCAGGGTTTTGGCTCTTCCCCCTAGAGAGGGGCATTTGGAAAAAGTGGGACTGGATCCCTGCACCACCCAGAGGTCCGGGTGTTCCGATTCAGGATCTTGGTTTAGTTGTCTCTCTAGCCTTGTGTACAGGGCAGTGTTATCCGAATCACATTGTTTCACCCTTCTCCACTAAAGAGTAGATTTTATTCCTGCCAGCCAACAAGGCCATTTTGTGGTTGCACTGCTGCCAGGAGTAGGGGAGGAGGATTATTCACTAGCAGCTTCTTGGCTAAGTGTGGGAGATTCCAATCATGACACCAGCCCAGCCGCCTGCCAGCAACCGAGAAACCTTTGGCTCTTTTTCCCCCATTACAAATAGGACAGCACTTCTGGAAGGACAATCCCGGTTCCTTCGTGAAATAAATGTGTTGTCCTAAAGCTGAGCAGTCCCTGGGCTCTACTTACTTGTTAAATCTTGTTCGCATGACAGAGGCTTGTCACCTTAAAGAGATTTTTGTGCTGTCCCCTATCATATCACATCCTCCTGTAAAATCCCCACCAGATCAAGGCTTACAGCACAGCCTCTTTCTACATAAAAGCTGAATCGAGTGACAGAAACTCCAGGCAAAATCCTTGGGATTGGGCAGCTCGAGGGGGAAGAGTTCGCTTCTTTTTAAGATCAGCTTCATAACCAATCATTTTGAGATGACCCTGATAACAAGGCCTTGCTTTGTCCGAAATGGCAGGACTTTATTTTGGGATTGAGATGATACGGAAATCAAGGAGCGTAAACATCTGGGCAGGGAAAAATCCAGTGAGGTTTTCAAGGCTACTCTGGCAGGGGATGCAGGAACATCACAAGCTATGAGAGGCAGACAAGCTCGGAGAGTTCACTTTAAATGACAACAGGGTGGGTCACTGCTATGCCAAGATTGCTTCTCTCCACTTTGGCACGAGGTTTCTTCTCTAACTGTCCATCGGTTTTGGTACATTTGGGGAGAGCTAGACACTGTGTTGAAATCTCCTTGACACAGTTTTGGAAAATGCTGGAAGATGAGTGAGTTTTATTTGTGCAGTTAAACAAGCTGCTCTTTGCTGCCCACTCTGAGGGCTTTTAATGTTTTGATTTTGAGCCATGGAAATGGGGGGCTGCGTTTCACTGATCAGCTTTTCCCAGGGACAGTGGTTAATAAAAATAATAAAAAAATTACTTTGTGGACAGGTAGCATGCTGGTCAAATCCAAGGCTTGTTCTTCACTCCCTTGCGACAGCCAGAGTTTGGAGTGCTGCAGGGGGCCGTGCAGATAAATGACATCTCCCCACTTTGGAATGGAAACATTAACTAAGAGGTGCTGAGCAAACCATTTTGTCTGGATTTGGGGCAAAGCCCTGTCCTGTGCTGTACGAACAGCAAGACATTTAGGAGTCTCTCTCTTCCCCCCCCCCCCCCCCCCCGCGCCATTCCCACTCCCCCATCAGGACAGGCTCTCTCTCCACTGCAGTGTTCCCAGGGTCATAAAAAGCAGTCAGGGAGGTTGTGAGGCATTGAAATTTTTATTACAATTGAAATGTCACTCACCCGCTCCTTGCACACCCCTTACCCTTCAATGTCAAGCATTCTTGAAACACTTGCACAAATTATAGAGGCCTGTCACTGATACTTTTTTTACTTTTTTATAGTAAATATAAAGGGAAGTAAATGAAAATATGCCTAAATACCTTGACAAATCTAGCTCTAACTCCTGCTTCTTTGCAACATACTAGATACAGTTTGACCCATCTAGCAGGCAATGCCTAAGGGAGTTAGGTGCCTGAATTCCTTTAAAAATCTGGCCCTTAGTGCCTGTAGAACTCAAAAAAATCCCTATTGGTTTCTGTTCCATTCCACAGGGAAAAGCACTTGTGAGAAACTCGCCTATGAAAACCCTGTTTAGGCTGAAGCTGCTCCTGCAAGGCTGGCTTCTGTATCTTATTTTTATAGCTGCTTCCTCAGTACACTCAGAGTGGACATACCCAGGCTGCATTGCTCGTGTGTCTCCGAGTTTGGGTGGATGGTGTACAGCTGGAGGGAGCTAAGGAGCATCACGTGACAATCTGACTTGAGGGACTCTGTTTGAAATGGCAGCAGGTTCTTCTACCTGGCGATCCATATCCAGATTAAATATCTCATGAGGCTTCATGACCTATTTTGATTAGTTAGACCTTCTCCCTGCAGTAGGAGGAGTTGGGGCTGGAGGGTTGCTGGCATTTTGTTTTCCAGCCGAAGACTGAGATAGGCAAAGCCCTGAAAAAAAACAGAGGACGACATCAGATCTGGCGCCATAACCGGACCCTCTAGAAAACGTATTCCCAAACTACCTAGAGCAATGCCAACTGCTGTCTCAGCCTCTGGCTGTCGTCAGAACAGGAGGGAACGGGGCAGCTGCCTGCTTAAACTTTCCCAAACGTGATCTGTGTTCCAATAAAATAAACAGTTTGAAAACTTTTCAAACTTATCTTTGAAAACTCGTGGCGAACCGGGGAAGTCCCGGATGACTGGAAAAAGGCTAATGTAGTGCCAATCTTTAAAAAAGGGAAGAAGGAGGATCCTGGGAACTACAGGCCAGTCAGCCTCACCTCAGTCCCTGGAAAAATCATGGAGCAGGTCCTCAAAGAATCAATCCTGAAGCACTTGCATGAGAGGAAGGTGATCAGGAACAGCCAGCATGGATTCACCAAGGGAAGGTCATGCCTGACTAATCTAATCGCCTTTTATGATGAGATTACTGGTTCTGTGGATGAAGGGAAAGCAATGGATGTATTGTTTCTTGACTTTAGCAAAGCTTTTGACACGGTCTCCCACAGTATTCTTGTCAGCAAGTTAAGGAAGTATGGGCTGGATGAATGCACTATAAGGTGGGTAGAAAGCTGGCTAGATTGTCGGGCTCAACGGGTAGTGATCAATGGCTCCATGTCTAGTTGGCAGCCGGTATCAAGTGGAGTGCCCCAAGGGTCGGTCCTGGGGCCGGTTTTGTTCAATATCTTCATAAATGATCTGGAGGATGGTGTGGATTGCACTCTCAGCAAATTTGCGGATGATACTAAACTGGGAGGAGTGGTAGATACGCTGGCGGGGAGGGATAGGATACAGAAGGACCTAGACAAATTGGAGGATTGGGCCAAAAGAAATCTGATGAGGTTCAATAAGGATAAGTGCAGGGTCCTGCACTTAGGATGGAAGAATCCAATGCACCGCTACAGACTAGGGACCGAATGGCTAGGCAGCAGTTCTGCGGAAAAGGACCTAGGGGTGACAGTGGACGAGAAGCTGGATATGAGTCAGCAGTGTGCCCTTGTTGCCAAGAAGGCCAATGGCATTTTGGGATGTGTAAGTAGGGGCATAGCGAGCAGATCGAGGGACGTGATCGTTCCCCTCTATTCGACATTGGTGAGGCCTCATCTGGAGTACTGTGTCCAGTTTTGGGCCCCACACTACAAGAAGGATGTGGATAAATTGGAAAGAGTCCAGCGAAGGGCAACAAAAATGATTAGGGGTCTAGAACACATGACTTATGAGGAGAGGCTGAGGGAGCTGGGATTGTTTAGCCTGCAGAAGAGAAGAATGAGGGGGGATTTGATAGCTGCTTTCAACTACCTGAAAGGGGGTTCCAAAGAGGATGGCTCTAGACTGTTCTCAATGGTAGCAGATGACAGAACGAGGAGTAATGGTCTCAAGTTGCAGCGGGGGAGGTTTAGATTGGATATTAGGAAAAACTTTTTCACTAGGAGGGCGGTGAAACACTGGAATGCGTTACCTAGGGAGGTGGTAGAATCTCCTTCCTTAGAGGTTTTTAAGGTCAGGCTTGACAAAGCCCTGGCTGGGATGATTTAACTGGGAATTGGTCCTGCTTCGAACAGGGGGTTGGACTAGATGACCTTCAGGGGTCCCTTCCAACCCTGATATTCTATGATTCTATTGGAGGTGAAATCCCGGGCACATGCTTTGGCAGCCGATTTCTCTTTAATTGCAGGAAGAACAGTGCGGATTTTTTTCCCCCTTTCTTAGGCTGATGAGAAAACTGAACTGAAGGATCAGAGTTGAAGTTTCCTTCCCTCTCCTCTTCCATCTGTTTTCTTTTCCTTTGCATTGAAGGAATGTAGCTTACTTAAAGCCCAGGAGGCACAAATAATGTCTGCAAGTAACGAACACAGCGGCTTGCCTTAGAGATTTGACTGCAAACTGTTGAGTTGTTCTCTGCACCCTTTTTCTGGAGGTCTGTGTTATTCAATAGTGCTAATTGCTAAGGGGAAGCGCCACCGTCCATTGAAGTCAGTTGGGAGGCTTTCTGTTGACTTAAATGGGCATTGGAACAGGCCCTAATGCTGGGCCAATCCAGGGTGGTGGCCTTCCAAGCCATTCCTAAGACTGTCAGGCTCCCCCACTCCCTTCCCCCACATCAGATTTCCTAGAGTCCTGTGATTGGCTGGGGTTACTCCCCTCATTGCTTGCAGGCTATGAGGATGGGTTGTAATAGTTAACACCACCTCTTCATTGCAATTTGCAATGAAATTTCCTATCTTTAATTACTTCAAAATGCTTGTAAAGTGGGTATAAGCCCCACTCTACAGTTGGGTAAACTGAGGCACAGAAGGGAAGAGTATGCCTATGCTGCAGAGGAAAACATGCTGTGCCAACTCCCAGAGGCCCGGTCAACTGTCTCGGGCTCGTGGTTCTTGGTCTGCTGGGCTAAAAATAGCAAAGTAGACATTCCTACTTGGGCCAGAGCCTGGGCTCTATCCCAAATTGGAACACCTGCACTGCTATTTTTAGCCTTGCAGCCTGAGCCCCATGAGACAAAGTGAGGTGACCCTGGCTCTGAGACTTGGTGTGGGGGGGGTTTTCTTTGCCGTGTTGACAGACCCGAAGTGACTTGTGCAAGTCACCTGCAGTTTCACTCCTTTAATTGCTGGCAAGTCTCCGGGCTTTTCCAAGAGCACCTCCTTGTTTCAACCCTGCTCGCTGTAGTTTGATCTGATCTAGTATCCGGGGCCATCTGCTTCGTCTCTTGGTGCTTGGTGTGGGGAGCTCCCCATCGCCTTCCTACTGCAACTGCCACTAATCATTAGGAAGAAACTTTCCCTGTGATCAGGTTAGTCTGTAATCCCATACTGCAGGGGTTTTTCCACCTTATTCTAAGGCAGCGGGCACCAGCCCCTCTCAGAAACAGGATACTGGACTAGATGGACCCAGCTGTGCTTACTTGGTACTTTCTTTGTGCTTTAGTATGTCATCAGGTACTGCAACACTATATGCTCTAAACATTCATTGTAACTAATGTCTCTCTCAAACTGGAGCAGAATAGTCAGCGTTTCTTTTCTCTTTTTAGCAGGTGCAAGGGGAGTGTAACAAGGCCCAGGGGCACCTTTAAACTTCCAGCCATTGGGTCATGTTATACCTCTCTCCGCTAGCCTGATGAGCCCATTATTTAAACACTTGTCCCCATCTACAAACCTTTAAGTCTGAGTCAAGGAAATTCCCCTCCTGTTTTTGAACTATTGGTTTGGGAGCTAATTGCCCATGTGGCCAATAGACAATGTAATTTTTTTAAAAAAAAAAAAACCTTTGGACTCCAAAAAGCAATGCTGAGATTCATTATTTGCTGAGTATTTATGGCCAAGCACAATGCTGCCTAGACTTTATTCCCTTAACACGCAACCCACTCGGGCTGTAGACATCATAGGCATGCTGAGGGCCTGTTTATTGTCTGTTGTCAGATGTATTTGGTGGTTATATTTTGCATTTTTCAATTCTCCAGAATCATTTTCTATAAACACTGTCACTCCTGCAGGCCCCATGGCTTTTTCTATCCTCATCTATTCTCCTGAACTCTGTCCCACTCATCCCCTTGTCTTTCACCTTCTCATACACCTATTTTTCAGTTAATATGATTTTTAACATGCTGGTAGCAAACCAGTATATTTTTTGTAACCATGTTCCAGTGAATCATCTTATGGGCTTTGTTTCATTCTTCGGGCCAGCAGGGTTGTGCTGATAAGATCGGATTCACCAGTTTTTTTCCTATTCAAACCACAGCATTTACGCAGGGAGTTGGAGTTGGGGAGGGGCAAACAACCCCTAAACAACTAAAAAAATTAGTTTTAAGACTGGATGAAAAGGTTGGCTGTTGGATGGTGAATTCTTTTTCCTCTCTCCCATTCATTCTTTTGGTTTCATCGGTGCTTGCAATTACTTGTTTAGTATCTGCAGGTGCCACAGAAGTTCCATTTTCTTTAAAATGTGCCAAACACACAGTAATTGAAAGATGGAAGACATTCACGACAATAGATGTTTATTTACAGGGGGTGGGTAGGGAGACTATGCTTCAATTTGCTGTCCTGCAACCAAAAGGACTGTTAGCAGGGATTCCAAAGCCAGAAGGGACCACTAAGATCATCTACTCTGACCTCCTGTATAACACAGGCCAGAGATCTTCTCCAAAGTAATTCCTAGAGCAGATCTTCTAGAAAAATATCCAGTTTTGATTTTAAAATGGTCAGTGATGGAGAATCCACTACAACCCTTAGTAGATTGTTCCAATATTTAGTTACCCTCAAAAATGTATACTTTGTTTCCACTCTGAATTTCTCTAGCTTCAACTTCCAGCCATTGGGTCATGTTAAACCTCTCTGCTAGCCTGATGAACCCATTATTTAAATATTTGTTCCCATCTACATACTTATAGACTAATCACTATAAGGCATGTTTTCTTATACTTTAACCATTCTTGTGGCTCTTTGAACCCTCTACAATGTATCAACAACCTTCTTGAACTGTGGAATACAGGACACACTGTTGTCGTATCTGTCCAAAATACAGAGGTAAAATAACCTCTCTCCTCCTACTTGAGATTCCCATTTATACTTCACAGCGTTACACTGTTCAGCTGGGTATCCACAACAACCCCCGAGTCGCTGTTTCCCAGGACAGAGTCCCCAGTTCTGTAAGTATGGCCTACGTTTAGCCATTCTTAATATGTATTGTTTGCTTGTGCCCAGTTTACCAAGTGATCCAAATCGCTCTGAATCCATGACCTGTACTCTTCATTATTTAACCCTCCCCCACTTTTTGCATCATCTGCAAAACTTTATCAGTGATAAGATTGTTTTTCTTCCAGGTCATATAATATTTTTTATCAACTATAGGGCCAAGAAATGATCCCTGCTGAACCCAACTGGAAATACACCCACTCAATGACCATTCTCCATTTACAATTACATATTGAGACCTATCAGTTAACTAGTTTTTAATCCATTGAATGTGTACCATGTTAATTTTATATCGTTCTAGGTTTTTTTAATCAAACAGTTATGTGGTACCAAGTCAAAAGACTTAAAGGTAATAGTGTTGATGTAATAGACTTCTATAATAACTAAACTTGTAATCTCATTTTAAAAAAAGTGACATTAGTGTGACAGGATCTATTTTCCACAAATCCATGTTGATTTGAAATAAATACACTACCTTCCTTTAACTCTTTCTTAATTGGAGTCGCGTATCAGCTGCTCCACTGTGTTGGAATTCAGGATCTTCCCTGGTGCTTTAAGACGCATTAAGAATAAACATTAACGGTCCCGTCAGCTCCTCATCCAGCTCTTTTAGAACTTTTGGATGCAAGTTATCTGGACCTGCTGATTTTAAAATGTCTGTGGAAGGGAAAGAGTATTATCATCACCATCTGATGAAACAATATCATCTGTTTTCCCCCAACTACAGAACAGAAATATTTGTTGAACACTACCTTATTATTGATAACCTTGCTTTCTAATTCACATGCTAGAATTATGGCAGAGACTAACAATATGTCCCTTTCATTCATCCAGTCCATGATTACCTGGAATTGGAAGAAAAGGAGACAAAACATTGAAAGTATGGAAAGCACAGGGATCCTTGATGTATGTAGGCTGGTAGCATCTTGTGGTGAAGATGATTCTTGGGAATCTGAGCACTCTTTGAAGAGAGGGTACTAACTGACTAACCTAGAGTTCCTAAGACTCCAGGACTATCATCATGTCCTGCATTTTATAGATGGGTCAGTTGAGGTTACAAAGGCTTGAAATGACTTCAGGCTCACACAGTATAGAAGGGCCAAAACTGGATGAAAACCCAGAACTGATGAATCCCTCCCCTCCCGCAACCTCAGTCCTTCTGCACATACACTAGTCATTACATCACTCTTTCTCACCGAGATGCCTCCTGTGAAGAGGGCTAGCTCTGCCTTCCTCTGATTTAAATAGTAAAGGGGGTTAACAATGGGGGGAGCATTTCTAGACTTCATAAAGTGGAAACTACACACCTTAGCAGACTTGCAAAGGCGCATGAACACGAGGAGACCAAACATAATTAATCCCCATAGGTATGTTCCCTCTTACGAGTAAAACCTTAGGAATGTGTGTATTGGGAAGCTCAAAGCACTTATAGGTACGTATATAAACCCCATCTTTTCCAAAGGCTCTCTGAAGAAAGGGGAGAGATCTTTCCAGGCTGTTCATATGTAAAGACTTGGTTTTTACAAAGGCTTAAATGTACACTGGTTAATAATCCCCTCAAGCATTCTGTGGCAGTAAACAAGGAGCTAAATCAGGCCTTTGAATGCTCACAATGGAATACAAATTCCAGAGCACAGAATAAACTTTTTTAAAAAATAGTTTTCAGCAAGAGCGATGAACTCAAGCTGAAATGTTTCATGCTAGACCCAAATGGCCCCAGAGTTCAGGGGTGAGCTGCAGTTCTGGCTCAGGACTTTCTGTTGGATTCCTACGTGATTTCTGGATTTAAACACGCAGAATGGGGTGGCTTAGCACCAAGCAAACTCTTGAGCCCCTTGAAAAATCAAGTTTTGAACCTACAAAGGAAAATACAGCCCCTGCGCTGTTGCTTTGAACTGCAAACATACTTGTGGCCGGGGCTGACTCTGTCTGCTGCCAGAACTTTGAAGCAGCTGCAGAAAATATCCCCCTTCACCTGGGAGAAAAGGAAGGAAGCAATACTGCTTGACAAACTTAGTACCTAGGAACTGCCACATCGAGTCAGACCAGGAGACCATCTCATCCAGGAGCCGGTCTCTGACCATTACTAGGTGTCTTAGACTTAGAGGACTGTCCAATACAGGGTTTCTTGCATATTGTAAAGCTTCTTACTTTTTTTGTATGCTAATGTCACTGTTGATCATCTAATCAGTAACAGAAATGCTTCATCCTTTTTTGGTTCTCCCAGAGCTCATGGTCCCCACTATATCTTGTGACTGTTTGGTTAATTGAAGCTTGTGTAAAAAACATCTTGTGTTATCTTTCAAGATCATTGGGTGTCCCTTAGCTCATGTCTAAGGGGGGAGAATATGGGAACAGCCTACCCACCTTTGCTCTACTGTTCCTTATTTTTACATAGTGCTATTCAGCTCAAAGGAGGAAACAATAGAGGTAAGTTTTGGCCTGATTCCTTCCTCTAGGATGCCGAGTTGAACTGTGTTTGTGGTTACTTGTAAAAGAACAGTAAATACAGTTGTTGTAAATGTTTATAATCCTCCTCCCACTTGCAGAGTATCGATTCTAGTATAGCAGTGTGTGACTTCCCTCCTTTGGCTCTGGAGTGAAGACCTTGCAGAGGTGATCTGAGAAGCGCCTCCTACTGCTAAGGACAGTAAATGACCAAGTGCCAATTCTTTTGTCACTTTCATTGGTTTCTAAGACGTTCTCAGTGCCCAGTGTTAATGCTGGTACCTTCACCTTCCAAGAGATTCCCAGACTGGCATTTTGGTCGGGAAATACCCACTTTCCTCCTTAGAAGACCAGTGCAAGAATCCAACCCTTGCTTTTGGTTGCCCTTCTAAAAACACCAACATTTGTACATTAAGCTTCAATAATGCTGTAACTCTGGCTATTGAAACAACTTGCTATTTGTGACCAAAAGTGCTATATCCCTAAAGCAGGGAAGCGATCTCCTGTGTTGGTAACTCATTAGCTTGTGCAGTTCTGTCAGGGGCTTTATGGGATGCCACTAATGAGAGAGATGTGCCTCCCCAGCTACCCTCCAAAACAAGTTTCAATAGCAGTTTAAAGAATCTGACATCATCAACCTTTTTGCTTCAGATAAATGCCCTGAATTAAATCCAAAAGGGACTCCCTTGTTTGAGTTTCCTTTCAGCTTAAATATCAATATTTTTATGGCATTTAAGCAGATCACAATACAATACGATACATTGTAAAATGCTGTTAGTGATGGCATCCAAACTGGCACCTTGGCTCTAAACCCTTTTGGGCTCAAGCAACTTCGAGTATGTCTACACAGCAAAGAATAATTTGCAACCGGCCCAGGCTCGTGGGGCTGTTTCATTGTGGTGTAGACTTCCAGGCTCGGGCTGGAGCCTGAGCACTGGGACGCTCCCATTTCCCAGGGTCCTAGAGCCCAGGCTCTAGCCTAAGCCCAAGTTGGCTGGCACAGGCCAGTCGCGGGTGTCTAGTTTCTGTGTAGACCTACCTTGGATTCAGATTTGGGCTCAAAACCCATCTTTCTACTGGCACAGAAGAGGAGCCTTGGATCCAACCCCTCGCCTAACTTGAGGAGAATTTGGATCAATATCTAAAGTGTCCTAGTTCATGTGTGTTTCTAATTAGTTTGTTACATACATACATAGACATAGACACACACACTTATTTTTATGCCCACAGATTTAATGCTGGTGAAAGATTAACGTCCCTGAGAATGAAATCTATTTCTCTACAGAATGGGTACAGCAAAGGCAACGTGAGTGCAAGGCTACCCCACCAACCTGACCTAGAGAGACCCGCAGTGAGGGTTGAGAGGGCAACCCATTCTCCTGCAGGCCCCGCTGAGACCGCCAAAGGGGAGGCTTCCAGTTACCTTGGTAGCTATAGGGACGTGGATGCCTGTTCATTAGGAACTGGATGGCAAGCGCCAGCTTCAGCAAGTCCACAGATACCCAACAGCAATAACTGCCAGCCTGCGCTGGAGTTGCACGGGCAGCTCAAAGGTGAGAGGCTCCGTCTCCTGTTACCAGGTGGTCTCCCAAACGCAGACGGTGGCGGTCAGTGCTGAAAGTCTGAGAACATCTCACTTCAAAGCAAAGGACTCACATGTAGGTTGCTTGGAGAAGATAGCTGCATTCTACCTGACCTGTTAGCAGTAGGCAGATGGGGGTATGGGCATTAATACCGTCTCCTCTCTGTGGTAGGCACGTATTCAGAAACATCTATGCTTTAGCAGTGTGTCCCGTGCACACTTTCCTCCCTCTCTTGTGGCTCAGATGTTAAATGGTGCTTACTGCATTCTTGACCTCAGCCATCAGAAAAGCATACTTCATTAAGCCTGCTTGTAGAAATTGTTTGGCTCGCCCACTGCTAAACAGCACCCAGGAATAATCTTATCCATGGAAACCGAATTTAAACAGCAGCCTCTTTTAGTCTGACCCTATTGACCCAACCTCCTGCAGTGACCTTTGATCCCGGGCCGGTGCATATAAGAAGTTGTCCACTTAAAAGCTCTAAAATTTGTAAAATGCTTCAAACCCTGTTTGTCTATTATGGGAGGATGGGCCTAAACTGTATTTTTGAACCTTTAAGGGCTGGAAGTCTGTTTACTAGTGAAGTACAAGCCTCTGTAGCACATGGTAAAAACACCTAGCAAAAAGTAGGGCTATTGACGAGGCTGTTACATCAGACATCATATTACATTAGGTAAGTTTCTTTTATTCAGAACACAGGTCTCCTGCTGCTAGTATGCCTGAAAACAAGTACAAGGGCTTAAGCACCCTGCTGTATCAAACTCCCCTCTCCTGCTGTGCTCGTCTTTCGGCTGGATTACCAAAGGGAGGCTACAGAAAGATGCTGTTTCTTAACCCAGAAATCTCAGTGTGCATTCAAAGATTATACAAGTGTAGAGCCATGCAAAGTGTTGCAGATTTGGTTTACAGCCGCTAGGTAGGCCCCAGCTAATCCCCTGCATCCAGACTTGTTGAGCTCTGCATCTGGTGCAATGTCTACAATGGGCAGAACCCAATCCCCGGCTCTATTAGGCTGGGGCTGCTGTAAAATGCAGAAGCTATGTGAAGTGAAGCAGGGACGGGGAATGGAATATAATAAGACTCCTTACATAGCCAGCTGATCCATTGCCAGTTTTTCCATTGGACTGCTTTAATATGAAAGGGATGCAAAATTCACTCCAGTCATCTGCAGAGAAATCTGAGTTTATAGTCAAGTGGAGCCTTTGTTGTTAGGGTCCCTCTGTTGGCAAGAACCAATAATGCTGGCTACACGCCCAGCCCCACCCCTCATTTCTTTGGTACTACATTTGAGTTGAGACTGAGGTGGTTGTTCATGACTTCTCTGTGCCTCACTTTACCCAGCGGTAACTACATCAGTTATTCTAGTATCAGCCAAATGAAGGAGTCTGTTTAAGGTCTTCTTCTGAAGTGCAGAGTGAGGGTATTCTGCCTTCCTTTGGAAAAACTGGCGGGAGGGCCATGTTTGAGAGAGGATGTGGAAATAACTGGTTTGTTTGATTAGGCCAACTTGTTAACAGGTTCCTCAGCTCCACTCCTGCAAGCCCTCTACTCCGCTCTCCCTTTCAACTTCCAATCCGCGGTGTGGGGGAGACTTCTGCAATCAGGTGGTTCTTGAGCAAACTTTGTTTCCAGTCAGAATAGAGCAATGGCAAAGCAGAAAGGCGATAACTGTGTAGAACCTTTCATCTGAGGATTGCAAAGTGCTCTCCAACATGAATTATTGCCCTGAAAGGGCAGAGAAGCCGCCTTACCTCCAATTGGCAGATGGGGAAATGAACTTGCCCAAGGTCACACAGTGAACTGGAGGCAGAATCCATGATTAAGATTTTCCAGCAGTGCCTAGTGATTTACGGGGTACTCAACTGGGGAAACACCTGAAGGGGTCCTGGCATTCGGAAGGTGGCAGCTCAGCAAGTTAGGCCTCCAAAATCAATACTCGCTTGAGAATATTGGCCAAGACATCGGGATGCAGAGTCATGCCACCCCCATCTGAATGAAACAGAACCTGCTTTAAGTTCCTGGGGACTCCTCAGAATTGAAAGGAAAAGCAGGGAAGCTGGGAAGACAACAGCAACAAATTTTGTTTTTGTTGCTTCCATAAACCAGGTCTATAAGACCGACTCATCTGAAAATAGATTGGGGGGGGGGGTCTGGTACAGTACATGATAATTAGGTCCCGGGGAAGCCAAGGCCCTAAGCAATTTGTGGGCCAAGGAATGTTTGCCTCTTGCACTGCAGTGAAATGAGCCATAAGTACCCCCTGGAAACCTGTTCAATTTTGGTATGTCTACATTGCAATGAGATGCCCACAGAGAGCCCTGATGAGTCCAAAAGGGAGACTTAATGTGCTGACCACTGGATTCCCCCAACCTTTCCCCACCAATAGATATTGGTGTCACTTCTAGCCTATTTGCCCCTTTCCTCTATTCAGCCGTAAGGCCCTGCCTACCAGCATGGATAAAAATCAATGAGAAAAAACCATTTTTTAAAAAAAAAAATCAATTTAAATCTGATTTTTTTTTATAAAATGCTTTTTGAGGAAAAAAACTTATCTTTAGATATTTCATCAGGGAATAGAGATTATAAATTCTATCGTATGAAACAATATATTCATGTCATGTTTAAGGAAAGTTTTGTAAATGAGTTCCAATAGTTCATGGATTAGGGACCCAATCTTATGGGGTTACAGGGGCTTCTGTATAGATTATTTAGGTTAATCTTTCTATCTACCCACTGGGACTCAGTGCTCAGTCTAGAAGATACCATCAGAGATGCTTAGTTTTGCAGTTCTCAAACTGTGGATGTGTGTCTCCAGAGGTAACATGCTTGTTAACAGCAAAAATGTTTTTAAATAAATATCTATATAGAGGTGAGAAATGACAGACCTCAACTCTGTTGTCCCTCTGCAATTTTGTGTACACAGCGTCAACCCCTTACCTCTCTCTAAAAGTGCAAAGTTTCAAAGGGTGGAATAGACCTGGACAAGGAGAAGTCTGGAGCTAAATGTGAGAAGCGAAGGACATATGCTTATTTTGTTAAAATATTACATGTTTGCTGTTGAAGAAAAAAATCCAGAATACTTAACATTGTTTTAGTTAAATAAAACAATTTAAATGTCTGTCTGGTGATGTTCTCCTCCTAATTCATCATGGCAAGAAAATCCTCCAAATATTAATGATTAACCTGTTGAATTAGAGATATTTGTGAAGTCATTGGGAGATGAACTATCTGCTTCAATTACCTTTGGTAAATGAACTAACCAAACAAACATTCATTTTCTGATATAGCTGTAAAACTAACCTGAAAAGTTTTCAAAATAAATCACTGTTTAAAAATGTATAATGTGTACCTTCTAAAAATGAAACCTACATCTATCTCTGAGTTGTGAAAAATATGTATTAAGGTTATAACAACCAACAAAAATGCACTTTTATGTAGAAAACCATGATTAAATAGAGTCTTCCTGACTAGTGATTTAAATCAAATCCATCCTGCTACACAACAGAAATAACCATGTTGTAAACATGTCTCTGTGGACAGAATTAATAACTCTGTTAGGGAACAATGCTTTAACTTAGGTAACTAACACAGTTAATATTTATTCTGTCCATGCACGGAAGGGAAAAACAAGTTTAACATGGTTATCTGTGTAGAGGAGACAGGCCTTTAACCTCCAGTTTGCTCTCAGTGACTATTGAAGTGCTGTGTCTTACTCTACTCTATCCATACTGTTCACAGCTGCTACTGCAAAATGATGTTTCCCCTTCCGCCCTCCTGCTCCTCGCTAGGCAGCCCAATGCTTCCTCATCTGTCAGGTGTGGCTCACTTCCTCTGCAAGATGAGCCTTTTGAAAAGCATCTGAATTTAGTTCTTAGCCTGTTCCCAGAGCCCAGAATTACTGGTCAGATTCAACCCAAGTGGTTGCTACCTCCAGTTTTAAAGGAAACTTGATGCATTGAGAGTCTGGTGTGAAGACAAACACCTCTCCCCATCCCAGCTTCCTCTTATTTAAGTTGAGCTCCCCCCACATCCCCCAACCGCACTTTCACAAATCATGTCAAAAACCCACATATTTAAATGGAATTTAAAGACAGCCTGAGTTTCATCTTTTCCCCTCATTCTACAGACGTGCTGCTCTGTTCCCAGTCAGAGAGATTCAGAAAGAGCTGCAGGATGTCTTAGAGAGAGACTTCAGAGGCAAGGGGAAGCCTTTGTGATAAATGCCCCAGGGCCATTTGAAAGCAGTTGCCTGAACTTCTTGACCCAGCAGGATTGAGTAGGTGGAGTGGGTGGGAGACTAGTTATGCAGGCTACCTGCGTGCCCCTGAATTTCACTGAACTGACACGGTTAGATTTGGAGGTTGGCAACATTCAGCCAGGCTATCTCCTCAGCTAAGCAGGGTTAGGTCAACCTTTTTTAGTGACATCCCACCAAACGGCATCCTCCATGTGCCATGACCTCGCACATGTAATGTATCCAAGGTCATGCTGTGCAGAGAGCACCATTTTGTTCTACATGTTTGGGAGCGGATGGAATCATCCCACGGCCTGGATCCAGCCCCCAGGCTGCCAGTTAGTCCACTTTTTTTGTAAATTTTGGAGCAATGCCGTGTGTGCGTTGCCTAAATAGGTGGGACGCCACTGGGTACCTTTGGTCTGCTAGATTGAAGAGTCCACTATCAACTATTGGTTCCCTGTGTAGCTACTTTGATTAAGTCACCATTTAATCTTCTCTTTATTAAACTAAATACATGAAGCTCCCTGAGCCTATCACTATAAGGCATGTTCTCTAATCCTTTCATGGTTCTTATGGCTCTTTGAACGCTCTCCAATTTATCATGAATTTTGGGTACCAGAACTGGGCACAGTATTCCAGTAGCAGTCGCTTCAGTATCAAATGCAGAGGTATTATAACCTCCGCTCTCCCACTCAATATTCCCCGGGTATACAACCTGGCCTTTCTAGCCAGTGTCGCACCTGGAG